CGTTCTTTTGATTCCTTATTAATATATGTGTGTGTGTGTGTGTGTGTGTGTGTGTGTGTGTGTGTGTGTGTGTGTGTGTATGCCTGTGGTCATAAGAGAGTGTCAGATCCCTAGTAGCTAGAGTTAATTACAGGCAATTGAGAGCTGCCCAATGTATGTGTGTGTGGTGGAATCAAATTCAGGTCCTAATTTGGCATAAATAGCACTGTTCACTTCTGAGCCATCTCTCCACACCCCACCCCCTGACTACTTTTTAAGATAGGGTCTCATGTAGCTCCACCTGTGCTGCAACTGTGTGACTGTGTGAACACCGGGTCACCACTCTATTTATAAAGATTTTCTGAGAATGAGTTATTGGAAGACAGAAGGGCATGCCAGTGAATCCTGACCTCCCTCCAGCGGACACAGACTAATAGAACGGGAACAAAATCCCTGATGTTACGACATGCACAATAAAAGATGATGTGGTCATTATCTCCAAAATCTCTTTGGATGACTACTCTTGTGTCATAGACCAAGGAATACTAGGATCAAAGCAAATCTAACCCTAAAATAGCAGTATTTCCTATTCCTAAAACCCGCTTTACCCCTACAATTGTAGTACTTACATATAACGTTAGTGTCCACATGCAATTGAACAATAGAAACATATTTGAATATAGTTTAGCTTGTGACGAACTTTCAACTTGAGTTCAGTTGTGAAATACATGCTGTTTCATATTTATTTATTTATCTATTTTTTGAACACATACCATTTTAAATGAAACCTGCTGACCTCTTCCCATTGCGTGGCTGCAAAATAATAAATTAGAAAAAAATCATTGTAACTAATGATGTAATTGCTATTGAAAGAAGCCTAGTGATATAATGAAGTGTCCTTAATTTGCATTGAGGTCACCTGACAAGCTTTGGACAGAACAGAAAAGGGCTCGTTGGGGACCACAGTTGCAGTTTCTGATTAACTGAGTCTGAGATGGAACTTGGAAATGTGTATTTCTACCAAGTTCCCAGACAGGGCTAAAGCCTGCCAGGACCACAATAAATTAGAAACTACTTGATTTTGCTTATGGGGAACCAACATCTGAAAAGAAGTGTTCTCAAATTTCATGTTGATACAAACCAAAGTTAACTCTCTGAAATCATGGTGGTTCTGTTTTATATATTCCTGCTGTCAGTCTAGTCCTGAAATCCAGTCCAGTCCATTCCTCAAGTGGCTGATGTAAATCTTTCCCCAGGAATACTGCCTTGAACTTCAGCATAAAGGTGAAATTGTTCAGCTAAATATTTCATTAAATAGATCCTGCCTTATCTTCAGTCTCCACACATAAAGTCATCTCTGATCATCTCCCATCCCCAGCTAAAGTGTTTGTCTCAATTCTTAGCTAAAGATGACTTACAGAGGATGTGATAGATTTTATACAAATAACACATCACGTAATAGAAAGAACTTAAGTATCCCTGATTTTGTTCTCTTTAAACAATCCCCCATGGATACCAAGGGGTGACTGTACTTAGCTGTTATTTATCTGTTTGTCATATCAGGCTATAAAGGACTAGAGAATAGAAGCTGACTCTACCTTCTTTTAAAATATTTTATTTTACTATAAATTATGTATATGTGTGTATGGATGTATGTGTGGGAATGCAGGTGCCCACAGAGGTCAGTAGAGAACTGCAGATATCCTGGAGCTGGAGAGTTACATGTTGTGAGCTTCCTGAAGTAGGTGCTGGGAACTGATTTCTGGTCCTCTGTAAGAGTAGTAGGGATCTTGACTTTATCTTTTCACTCCCATCTACCCATACTTTCCCTAGCACCTATTAGAAGTCCAGTAAATAGTTGCTGAATACATTTATTAAATGTTTAACTTTCTGGTTATATGTTAAGAAAGTAAATATTGCACAAAACATGACTATTTAGAAACAAATTTATACACAAATGCAAAATGATAAATGTGGTCACAAAGCTATCTCTACTTAGAGGTTTTATTAACAATTGAAGTTTTAATGTTAAGAATTTGTAAGCATAGTCACAACCCCTGCAACCTATTGAATGAAAACTTTAATAACTGACTCCTTGTACTTGTGAAATAGCTTTAAAGATGTGCTTCCTTTACGCAAAATATCACGAAATTAAACTGTGAAGTAGATGAATGTCATTGGAGAATTTACATACTGGAGCTGTGGTTTAAAACAATAGGGCAGTGGAAGAAGTGAAATCAGATTAAGACACTGGATGTAGCCAGGTGGTGGTAGCACACACCTTTAATCCCAGCACTTGGGAGGCAAAGGCAGGCGGATCTCTGTGAGTTTGAGACCAGGTTGGTCTACAGAGTAAGTGCCAGGACAGGCTCCAAAGCTACACAGAAAAACCCTGTCTCAAAAAACAAAAACAAAGACACTGGATGTCAAATTTCTGTAACTTCACTAAAATGAGTTGACTCAGTGAGCATACATTAAAAATACTTGGTCAATTTTCATATATATTGATCATAAAATGCTTTATATACATACCCTGAATAAAAAGTATCCCCTACTTTGACCAGCAAAAGGACTTTGTAATTCCTCCTGGAAGAAATAAGGATGACATAACAAATTAAGCAACACTAAACAAATGCAAATTCCTCTTAAGAGTGTAGTGAAGTTCAATATTACTTTCAGTTATTCTAACTCAACAAAAGGTGCCAAAGGCTAGAGTAGAGTATTCATGTCATAGAGAATAGTTATGCTTACATCCAAATCATTTCAAAAACTGCCAGAATCCCCAGAATGGTGCATTTAAAAATACTCTCTTTATAGATTTTCTTTTAGGAATGTTGTCAGGTGTATGTATATTCATCACTAAGTAGAAAGAAATGTCAGGCACAGTGTATTTAAAAATCTGTTTTTGACTTTTTCTTGAATAAAATAATCTTTTTAACATAAATGTTAGATGTGGTCATATATGAACAGGAAAAATATAAGCTGGAATTGCTGTTAAAGCAAGAATATCATTCTTCTACATGGAAACTGAGGGACAACTTTGGCAAATGTATGTTTAGTCAATGCCTTCAAAGAGGTTGTCTTGATACTATTGTATGTGCAGAATGATAATGAAAAAACGCCAAATAGGAACAACCATGTATTTATTACAGGCATATTACATAGTGTTACTAAGCATACCATTCTAAACTTTATGTAAAGAATATTTAATGTTTTATAATTTCCATAGAATTGGTTTGTATCTTCATGTTTGTATTAATACTTCATGGTAATCGATATATTTATCAGTCAAAACTTTTCAGTTTTCCTATAAGTAGTGTTCTTTGCTTTATCCTTGATTTACAGAAAATATGTTTCTAATTTTCAATATTTGTATTTCTTATTTTTAACTATACCCCTCAAATTACTTAAGTTGAACACATTGGTATTTAAAATGTGTACACAGAAACTGTATGTTTAGGTACTTGTTTAAAAAACAGTTCCTGTGTGTGTTCAAGATTAAAAAAAGAACACAATGAAAATTTAATAGACTAATTACTGAAGACATTAACATGCAGCAGCAAAGCCAAGGGTTTCAGGGTGCTGTCATTAGCGTTGGAGTCCTCAATAACTGAGAGAATTTGGGAAGAAGAGATTTAAAGGAATGAATCCAGAAAACAAAATGGAAAACCTTTGAATGCACTAAAATCCATTTTTTTCCTTAAGAGATAAGATAGTTCACTATAAAACTGTATTTTAAAATTAGATGACACTGGCCAGCATAGCCAGCACTCTTACTGTAGTTGTTTTTTCATCCATCTGTTAAATTCTTTGCTTTCAAAGCTTCCTAAGGACATTGTGGAAGAATGTCTTTGGGATTCACCTTTATTTGGCAGCATCCACTCCCATAGGTCCCAAGCATTTGGATAGCTGTCTGAAGTACAAAAGTCTCACTCAAGCCAGAAAATGGGACCATGTGTTAAATTGGTCATAATAATGAACATTATGCAATCTTTCTTTGTGTAACTGGTGAGACAAGTCATGTAGTCAAAACAATTATCACTGGTTAATATAGACATTGGAAATAAATTATTTAAAGTGTACATTTATTTCTAGAAAATTTGATAACAATTGACTTTCTTCTTCATTCTGTGAATTCTCCCACTTGCAGGTGGGGGTGTTAGAATTGAACCTATGGCCTCACATGTACCGGGCTACTGCTCTGCCACTGAACTATAGTTCCAGCCTTAAGAATTCTACACATTTAAGGTGTCATTAAATCTCCTCTTAGATTTCCCTTTAAAGTTAGCAGCAGATAACTGTATTCAACTGAAGCTAAAAATGTGAAGAATTTTGGGAGGAAATAATGATCATAAAAAATAAATTCTGGGACATTTACTCATCTAACTGTTTGCTTTTTAAAAGTGTGCTTAATGAAGAATTAAAAAAATACAGCAATAAAGTTAAGAAAACACAGGCCCGAATTCATCTTTTAAAACTAATATATGTAATGGCAGCCATATAATAATGAAGTAGCCATCATTAAATCATAAAGGAATATCACAATGAAAAAGTTCTTTGTTTTTGGCCTAGACTAAGGGTCGTGAACTGCATTGTCGCCTCTCATACTAGACAGCTCATGGAAATTTATTTAACTAATGTGACTTTCTCTTCCATTAACTTGGAATAACAGAATCTGTGAAAGCCCAGCCAGGTTCCCAATGAATCATAAATGGTAATGCTAGACCCAAAATGCAATGTCTCAATTCAAAATGTTACCCAGGATTTTCAACATGAAAAGCATTAGCAGTGTTCTTCACTGACCCTGAAAAATCACAGTATCTAGTTAATAATGTGTTAGCTTAGTTATATTTACCTTACACATTGGTACTAGATTTAGGTCCTATTTTTGTTAACCATGGGAAAAATGAAGCATTGACATTTGTTTTATGATGAGTGTATTTATTATCCTTATTCTTATCAATGTTTTAACACTTGGATAAAAAATTAGGCTACCCTAGCTATTTGTGAGCAAGTATACAGGGGCAATAATTTGTCCTTAATTGGATTTCTGATTCCTCCCTAAAGATCAAACACCCAGTGTTTCCTTTCTTAAGTCAAGAAAACATTTTCTTAATGAGTGTGTCATGGAAGGTTTCTTCAAAGTCCTGTGATCCAGCTAGAAGGGGCCAGAACCCTAAGAGGGAGGAAGATTGCATGATGCAATTACGAAGATTAATCAACTATGTCTCCCAAAGACCTTGTGCTTGGTCAACAGCCTGTGGTCCTATTGAGAGGTAGTGGGATCTTTCCATGGTGAGGCTTGTGGAAGGAAATTATGTCACTGTGTGCATTCACTTGAAAAGAATGGGGACACTAACCTCTTCCTCCCTCCCCCCTTCCTAGTCTCCACAGAGTGAAAGCCTTTGTTCAACTGAACACTTGTCACCATGATTCTCTGCCTTACCACAGATATAAAATAAAATAATGGGGTTTGTCAAGTTGACCAAAGGTTGAGCCTCTAATACGGTGAGCCCAGGTACTTGGTTTAAGTCATTTTTTTTCCCTCCAACATACTGTCATTGTGACAGAAAGCTAACACTGAGTATGAATGTGAGAGCCTCACCCCGAAGAAGGGTATTTTACAAAAGGACCACAGCTGCAGTTAGCAGAAGGGGCTGCCCCAGAGTGGCAAAGCCAACATGCAGTTTGTGTTACGTACGTCCACCTTGAATCTCTTCATCCTTCTCTCATGCAGTTGAGGGACGAGCTGCAGCAATGGATGCACGACAGATGACTGAGAGAACATGAACACAAATGGTGAGCACCAGAGCTCTTCAGCATTGGGCATTTAGATGGTTTCCTGTCTGTCTGTCTGTCTGTCTGTCTGTCTGCCTGCTTTTTACCCATTATTATTGCCCCAGACCAAATGACCAAAAAAGGAAATTAAGTATATTATCTAAGACAGCCCGTCACGAGTAGAATGGGGTAGAATTTGCTAGTCCATAAACCAAGAGGTGGGACAGGTTGCTAGTCCTACATTAAGCTGTTTGTCATTATTTGAAGAAGCATTTTGCTGAGAGCCTCAGATCTGTTACAGCTGCAACAGGTGCATCCCGAGGCTGCCTCTCTAGGAGACAAAAAGCCATCTGTCATCTTCTACACTTACTCAAAATAATATGGTCCAGACAAAGGCAACTGGCAAGTATCAGTTTTCCCTTATAAACATTGTTATCTGGATTCTTCTAGTACACACACCTGGAAATCTCTTTCATAAGTTAAATATTTAAAATCGAACTAGAACAAGACAATGGGGGTCACAAAGATGACAATGTGCTGTTGGTAGTGGAAAAAGTGACAAAGATATACAGTTTAAAAATGAAGAAATGTCACATGGAAGGAAATGAAAGCACATCTGAGACACACAGCCACCTCACACAGCTGCACTTTCTTAAGCTCTGGGTGGAACCGAGTCTCCTCACTAACAGCATTGAGTTCATTTAACAAATGGATGACTTTCGACACTAGGTAATGATGATCTGTTCATGAATGCAACTTGTGTTTGATAGGTAGCTAGTCTAACTTAAAACTCTCTTCTGTTCACGTCAGGGTATTCGGTGTGGTATGAATTTAAAATAGAGTTTAAGTTCACATTTACCTTTCCACCACACATTTAAATTACACTGTCCTTTCCATTCCCTAAACTGTGCATAGTAATGGATCCCAAGTTTAGGGAGAATATTAGAGTCAAATAATTTCTATTGATTTATTTTTCCATTGCAGAAGATCAAACCCAGGCCCTCATTTGTAGTGTGTAAGGACTCGACTACTATGCCACAGCCCTGATGCAAAACTGAAACTAAAATAACAAAAACAAACAAACCAAACCACTGAAACCACAGGAGTCTGATGTGAAATGAATCTAGGTTACTCATTTCTGGTTACTCTGAGAGTAAACTCTCATAATGAACATCTACCTAATGATAATGAACAAGAACAGATAATATTTCCAGTTAGCCATCAACACTTGTCTTTGAAATAATTGTTTTCAAAAATGTCTTTGGGTGACATTGCTTTTCTCTTGCATTAATATTACCCCAGACAATTTGTTTTACTTATTTGCTTTTTCTTAGACTTTTTTTTGTCACTCAATACAAATTGATGAAGGAGGAGTTTCTTTCTTAATGTTTTATTTTTACTTACTACCATATTTCTAGCATTTATAATTATGTCAGACATGTTAATTGTGAATGAATGACTAGAAGGCACATGTAATTATTGGCATGTAAAATATATAATAAATATTGATTTCCATTCATTCATTCACATATAAATTTAGGTTTTTTTCCCCTTTATGGTACTGAAGAAGGAAATACTGAGCACATCGGCAGACACATACATAACTTTTTGAGTTTTGGGCCAGGCGTTGGTGGCGCATGCCTTTAATCCCAGCACTTGGAAGGCAGAGGCAGGTGGATCTCTGTCATTCCCAGCCAGCCTGGTCTCCAGAGCGAGTGCCAGGATAGGCTCCAAAGCCACACAGAGAAACCCTGTCTCAAAAAACCAAAAAAAAAAAAAAAAATGAGTTTTGGTCTTATGGTATGCTAGGTAATTTTTAAAAATCAGTTTTCTCTTAAGCACATGCTAGTGACTACTTACCACAATATTTGAGTTTCCTGACTTCTCTGTCTTTGAGTAATGGAATAAGAACTGTTAAGACAGAAAGAAGAGTTATGTATAAAAGAGCTGTGGCTTCCTCTATTCTTTTCAGGGGTATAAGAATTTAGGAAAATCACCTTACCCTCTTAGTATTATGTTTTTCATTTTGTTCCTAGTGAAGAGATATATATCATTATAACACACATTATAAAGCTTTATATTACATACTTTGAAATTATGAGTTATGTAGAATTTTTAAAATATGACACATTATATTTCAAACATAGGACTAATATTGATTTACATCTTTTGCCCCCAAAACAAATGGAAAATTGATTAAATATTTATAAAAAAGTAGACAGGTGATCTTTTCTACAAAATTGCTTATAAGAATAACAAATTGGAATCATGCTCGATGTTCAACAGTGGTGGAATGGGAAATTAGAATACAGTCACATATGGGGTATCCAGAGAAAACAAACAGGAGACCATAAAATAATTTTAGTTGTCATCACTAAATAAAACCATGAGTTATTTTTTTCTGCCATAAGTTTCCCTCTAGTCTTTTGTCTCTAAAATGTCTGTGTTTTAGGAGTCATATAACTTTTTTTTGTCTCATTTGCTCTTAGCACCAAAGTGACGGATAGATGTCACTGTCATTTCTTTTATCTTAATTAGAAAAAAAATACATTTTAATACATTTGGGGGGAATCACCACTAAAAAGAATATATTCATTTGCTGCTGAACATGAAGTCTAGGGAAACATTGATGCCTCCAAACTATCAAAGTTTCTTTCATTGAGTCATTGTTTGTGGAAGGTTTGGTGGCTGGAGTGTACCAACCAACACAAGATAGGTTTGAGATGCTGAGGAAATATATCGTTTGGAACTCAAGGCTTTCACCTTTAGTAAGGGAGTTTTAAAATTGTTCAACCTAAAACACAGGCTAGAACCTGGGGGTTAATGGAATGCAATTTCTCAGGTTTCTACCTGTCTTCACCTAGTACAAAACATTCTCATAGAAAAAATCAAATTCAAATCAGAAACCACGACACAAAAGCAAACAGAATTTTCAAAATGACATTGACAATGCAGGTGTCTGGTTTGCTCTCCCTTGAGTTTGTTTGTTTTCCCCAATGCTGGTATGAAAGCTGAGCCTTCACACATGCCAGCCTAACATTCTTCCCAGCTACGTTTTCCCATTGTTAAGGTCCTATACTATAATAATATTTAGCAACTTAGATTCATTCTATTCTTCCAATTGTACAAATGGGTGAGAAAAATAAAGTCAGTGTGATCATAATATTTTTCCCATCAGACCACATTTTATGCTTAAAGGAGACATGCCATTTCCTAATTAGTTGATTATGAACTTTACCAATATTATCTTAAAACATCAGGTATCAGAGAAACTGAAGCATTTGTTTCTTATGCCAAGTCAATGTGTGTTCTAACTCCTGCTGACACATTTCCTAAATTGGGCGTATTGTCTTGGAGGAGGAGAAGTTTCATGACATTTGTTTAGTTGGTTGTTTGTCTGTAGGACTTCAGTCTTACCAGAGGCTTCTGGAGGCTCTCGGTCACCAAACGGCAAAACTCCCTCAGTGCAGTGGATCCCTAAGGCAAACAAGAAGACATATGGGCTGTGCTTTACATTGCACCATGTCTGCACAGATGGAATATGTTGGAAGCCCAAGCATCTCTTGATTTCTTTCATAATAATCTTTTGGCTGCTAAAACATCCTAGGGCCAGGGTAATGGCTCAGCAGGTCAGAGAGTTTGCTGGGCTAGCAGGAGGACTTGAGTTCAAATCCCTAGCACCTATGAAAAAGTCTCGCATAGCTGAGTGTGTCTGTAACCCTAGCATTGGGCATGGAGATTGGTAGATCCTGGGAGTTTGCTGGCCAGTCAGTCTAGACACAATGACAAATTCAGTTTCTATGAGATCCTCATCTCAAAAAACAAGAGTGATGGTGGAAGATGCACGATGTCTTCTTCTGGCCTCTACTTGGGTGTACGTGGGTATGCATTCCCATGTACACACACACACACACACACACACACACACACACACACACACACACTTGAGTGCACATACTAGAAACAGACAAAAAGATCTTTCTTTCCTTCCAGAAGCTATGCGCCGATGGAGGCTTTCACTGTGGTCCAGTTACACAGTTCTCACCGCTCGCTGAGACACCATGGAACTCTATGACTAAGACAACCTGGGTAGTGCCAACTAGGGATTAGCCTTTCCAGCTTGTAGCAAAGTGCATGTACATGCCAAAGCTGTGAGCCTCACTGAACATTACTCATCACTGGCTAATTTGAAAATCCTGCAATTGCTCTCAAACAATGGGAACTGAAGGACAAGAAGCCGTGCGTGGTGCACCTAATCTGAGTGCCACCCTTTCCAGGATGCTGACTGCACACCCCAGGATCAGGTTTGTCAAAGCATCCGAGCACAGAATTAGGGCAGGAATCCTGTGGTGGCAGCCAGCAGGGCGTGGTAAGGAGTGGCACAAATGGACAAGCAGGGGCAAACCCTGTTTTGCACAGGACCTAACACAGTCGTCCTGTGAACCACGGATTCCTTATTGGTTCCTTTCTAAAGTCACGGAAAGCTGGGAAGTGAGGGGCAATTAGTAGTGGTTAGAGCATGAGCTGTAAAGGTAAACGGCCTGGAACTAGACAGCAGTGCGGATCCCATTTCCACTTCACACCGTAAAACTTCAGTTTCTTCAGGTGATGCCACTGCAGGAATTTCCTGGAAGGATTAAAGGCAGGAAAAGCTCTTTGGTTTAATTTAGGACTGCAGGTACTCTCAACTTAGAAACCGAGAGAAAAGATGGCTCAGTGCTGTCAATATTCTGACCCAGTGCACCTAACTCGGCTGCCTGTGGCTAGAAACACAGTCGGAGTCACTATAAAGTGCCCATCATATCCTTCCTACCTCCAGAGGTCTGTTTTTATCTTCTTCTTTCTGTCTGTTTGCTTTCCAGGCAAATTGCTGGGATATGTTTTAATACTACAAAATTGCGTGTATAATGGTGTTTCAGTATATTAGAAAATACTCCCCTGTGCAAAATTTGCATTCTGTTCTTGAAACACATGGACAAGAAACGTAGGGCAGGAAATGGTACTCTTTTGTATAGAAGAAATGAGGTCCTACAAGATTGTCACTTGTCCAGTACCTTAAGAAGTTGTAGCTGACTGTGTGGTTTGGGAGCCAGGCCTTCTACTTATAGATACCTCTTGGGGCCCTCAGCAATGCCTGCTGTTCCTGTAGTTGGGAGTTGGTTTTTAGTTGTTTTATGGTGATGGAGGTGTCACATAAATGCTGGCTGGTTGGTGCTCTGTCACTGAGGCCTATCTCCAACTATTGGGAGCTGAATGACAGAAGTAGACAGCGTGATAGGTCCTTCCTTACCTGTTCCCTTCAGGTCACTCCATGAAGTTCTGGCAATAAAATCCCCACAGTTCTTCTTTCAAATAGCCCACATAGAAATGCAGTAAAATCCAAAGGAACAAAAAGGAAATACTCAGCCGTGTCCCACACCAAAGATGCATTTCAACTAAAGATATTTACGTGTGTAGGTTGTCTCTCCTTAGGAAACCGTGTCTAGGCTTGATGAGATTTGGCAGTAACACTGACCTTTGACTGGAAACATTTCAAAATAAATGCATTTTATCTAGCTCTTCTTTGTAAGAAGCCATTGTTCTCAACAATTCATTAAGGACTATCATACATGGGATAGGTGACATTTTATCTTGTATTTATGGGCCTTAAAGATATTTTTTAATTTGGTGAAAATATCTTGAAGCAGTAGTCAGATAATCACATAGTTTAATAAAATAAACAGTTAATGTGAAAATTAATATATAAAATATCACATTATTGAAATGTATTCTATACATTATAAATGTAAATGACAGAAACAGCATGTCTGTCAGGCTCTTCTTAATGGAAGGCCTGCCTCTTTCTGAATGGAGACAGAGGAGGAATGGATTGGGGGGAGAGGAGGGAGGGAGAAGGAATGGGAAGAGAGTAGGGTGGTGAAATTGTGGTCAGGATGTAAAATAAATGAAAAAAATGAATTAATTTTTTTAAAGGTGCACAGAAATGAAATTCAATAGTTAATTTGTAGAGCTGGGGCAATGGCCCAGTGCTTAAAGTGGCTGTTGTGTAAGTGTGAGGACCCGAGTTTGGATCCCAGAAACGAAATAAATGCAGGGTGGGTGTGTCATCCCCAGTCCAGCCTCAGAAGATGGAAACAGAGGATACCTAGAGCAAGCTAGCAGGACAGGCCATATAGGCAAGGTCTGCTTGACTGAGAGACCCTGCACCAATGAATAAGGTGGGAGAGGGATGGAAGATGATTCTGACATTAATCTGGAGGCTTCACATACATAGCACACATGTACAGTGTGCACTACTCGTATACAGTGTACACACACACACATACACACACACACACACACACACACACACACACACACACACACACACACCATAAATTGAAAAAGATTTTTAAGGTTAGTTTATGTTGATAGAGTTTAAACAAGTGATTAAAATCTTATCCAGTGTGTACTGCGGATATAAAAAACTATTCTGAAGCTGTTCCTGAATTTTAAATTCAACACAAAGGCTTACATGCTAATATCCATCCCATGCCATTCACCTGACAGTGCTTCTTGTGGTTTGAATAGGTCTCCCAGAGACTTGCATGTATGAACACTGGGTCCCCAGTTTGTGAGACTTTGGAGGAGTCTGTGGAGCTATTGGGAGGTGGAAATTTTGTTGGAAAAAGTGGGCCTCAAGGCTTTCTAGCCTGGAACCACTTCCTGACACTATCTGCTGTGAAGATGCAATGTGACCAGCCAGTCTGCTGCTCCTGTCACTATGCTTTCCCTGCCATGAAAGACTGTATTCCCCAAACTGTGAGCCAGAATAAAGCTTTTCATCCTTCAGTTGCTTTTGTTGGGATGTTGTTTCACAGTAGTGAGAAAGTAAGTAAGGCAAAAATCGGAGTTGAAAGTAAGAATTTGAAATATTGTTCAACAGATCTTGCTTCCCTCCCCTCTGCCTAACCTCTAATGTCTCTAACTTTTGAAAGGGGAATCTCTGGAGCTAGAAAATGGCATTACACAAGGCTGCTTCTCCACTGCTGCCAGGATCACCATATGGAGAAACTTATTAATAGTCACTTAGCTTTGGCCGCAGGATGTGGCTGAGGCACATTAGTTTCTGTCAAGGATCCTAGAGGCACTGAATATGAAAATAAAGGTGAACTTGGGGTCTTTGCACTCAGACCTGCTGATGGAAGCAGCAGCATCCGGTAAAATTTGGATAAGGATAACACACTTACTTCCTGCCCCTCATGTCTCCATGTGGAGGAGGTAGGCTCCCTCTTTCCTCACCCCTCCTCCCATGGGCAAAGAAGAGAGCTGCCTCCTGGGTAGCCTGGAAGCAGGAAAGTGGGCATGCACAGTTCAGCCTTTTGTCTTCTGGGCAATCATGCTGGTCAGCTGTATTCATTGATGTGGTAGCTGCCTCAGGTCTAATGGAAGACTCAGTGCCACCGCCTAAGCCCTTCCAGAAAGCTTGATTCTGGTACTAGATCTATAACAATAGCCAAATTAGCTTTTTGACAAGTGTTCCAATAGTTTTCAAACTCATTTGGGAGCAAGACATTAGCTCTTTAGATAGAGCAGCAGGTACAGCATTTTAAAAAAAACAATCTGATTTTGAAATTAGCATTTTGGTAGTCCACAATTTCCACAATAATTTATTTTACTTAAAAATAAAAGGGTGACCCTTTAAAACAGAAGCCCACAGTACTGATACTTCCTGAAGATAATGCAGCAATATCTAATATGTGACAAGACTCAGTGAGTTCAGAGGGAGATATGGAGATTTTTAAGCAGCAGGAAATGCCTACATTATTATGAAACACCTCCAAATGAAATTACCTGAGGCTGGGAATCACTAGACAGGAAGGATGAACAAGCATCATGCACCTGTAGAAAACAAAGACATCAGTTACACCCCAGACATAGAAAAGAGACCCAAAAAGAAAGCAGACTTTACTGAGTTGTCACATACAGACAGCAATTAAAGAGCCATGGCAGCCTTGATCCCTAAGTTCAGAGAAGAGGCAACTCTAAAGCCTTATAAGAAAGTCCCAGGTGCTGAGCATGGTAGCATATGCCCTTGATTCCCATCTCTGAGGCAGGGGGATTGCTATAAATTAGATGCCAGCTTGGGCTGCATAGTAGATTGAAGGCTGGGATGCATAGTAACACCCTATAGACAGGAAAAAAAGAGGGAAAAGAAGAATGAAGGAAGGAAGAGTGTGAAATGATGGGGGAAGTACTTCTGTGTATGTTTAACTTGTTGTTGAATAAAATACTGTTTGGCCAATGAGACAGCAAGTTATGGCCAAGCAGCATCGTACCTAATACAAGTTTCTGTGTATTCATTTGGGCCCTAACTCAGGTGCGGTGGGGCTCAGGCGGCTTTTGGAAGAAAGATTTATCTTAACAGTGAAAGAACAAACGAAGACAAAGGAAATCCTAGAATTGGGAGTTGTCCAAGATTCACTCCTGGCCATTGGAATGTATGTCCCCAATATCAGCTGATAAAGACCATCAGAATGTATGAAGATTACTCATACACTAATACAAAGCTAAGAGGTCTGAAATAATTCAGCCTGAGCAGCTTGAGAACGTGAGAGAACATAACTCTTTCCCCCCGCAAAAACAAAAACAAAAAAGGCCTCAAAATGGAATGCCATTGGTTGCTGTGCAGTTCTGCATTTGATGTGGCTCTAATGTCTTTTCACTTAGCCTGATAACTGAGTGACACACAGCATACAGGAAAAATCTTAGGACAACATAAGCCATAGATCTCCATCTCGTAATGAACGCTTACTCAACTATGGCTGGCCACTTGCTATTTTCAGCCTTTATCCTAAAGAGAAAATGTTAGTGGTCTTACACTGTAAGAGGTCTCACAAGCTGTATCAGCTAGCACAGGCCTATAATCCCAGTGCTTTAGAGGCTGAGGAAGGAGGATCACAAGTTCTAAGCCAGCTTGGACTACCTAGTGAGACTGACATAAACAAGCAGAATAAAATATAAGCAGAGATTTGTAGTAATCATAAAAAACTATGCTGGAAAGTTAAACCCCAGGGTGTGTGTCTGCAGTATTTATAGCATGCATGTCTTTGATGGCCTTTCAAAACAGGACCAGAAAAAAAAATAGCACTGATGCTTGGGTGTCTGGAGTGGTTTTAGTTAAATCTTCTTTATGGCAAAGTGTCACAGAGTCCCTTCCAGTGTCAGAATTCTTTATTGGTCTACTTAACTGAAATTGTATTCTCACACCAGACTAAGAAGGGTAGCTATGTTCCTCAATCATAACTTCTTAAGCTCCTTGTTGTTTTCAAGTTGGCAGCATCCTGAAATATGTGATTCTTGAGCTTAGAGAACAGAAAGAGCATGAGCTAGTGCAGAAAAGCAGGGTCTCACATCTGCCACAGCTCACAGAACACATCTTTATATACTCCAGGTATGAGGGGTATTCAGAAATTGTAGCATGTACCTACTCCCTTATACACACAGGGAGAGAGAAGAAGGGATGGAGGGAGGGAGAGAGAGTTTTTGAGTTGAGATTTATATTGTATTTAACTTGACCAGAATCAATGTTAAATAAAAGTTCTTGAATTGAGTTTTTGAAAAATCAAAAATGCAAAAAGAGAAATTAGCTGAAGGGTTAGATGAAAAGATGATGCCCTCCGAAGCTGTGAACATTGACTGGTGCACAATGCTGTCATCTCCAAATCCACGGTCTTTGCTTTGGTAGGCTGGGAAGAAATGGCTTCTCCTGAAGTGTTCTTGGTGCAGAGAGGCTTGAAGCCATTGCACACCCAGCGGGGACTGCTGGGTAATACTGGTACAGCAACAGGATGCTACCACACTTGGCTAGCATGGTAACTTCTTTATATATCTTTTCCTATAAAAGAAGGATAATGATTTCATAGCCAGTCTCCTTTCCACAAACTAAGCTGCCCCATAAGTGTGAAGTTACCTGTGCACAAAAACAGGGAGCCTTGAACTGATGCTGATTGGCACATCAAGTTGCTTAAATAAAAACATCAGAAACATCACAAACCGAATTAGCCCAATTAGGAGATCATTGTGGAGCTTCCATGTGTTGTTCTCATTCACTAGAAAGAGGACAGCAGCTCTGTTCACTACCTCGCCATTTGGGTAAGCATTTGAACTTTCCTCAGCCGATAGCTCCAATGGATTTTAGTGCCGCTAATGGCTTTTGAGACCTCTGCATGGTCCATTGGTGAATCTGTTTGAAATGGACTGACCTTTGCACATTGCTGGAAAAGCACATGACTTCTAATGTCTGGGCCACTCTGTAATGTAAAAACCTCCAGCAGGTGGATGTGAACCAGTCCAGCTGATGTGGACACCCCCTGTCTCTGCAAAAGAGTCTGCCAACAGCCCCTGATGGATTCCCCATTGCCTAAATTCCTTTTTTTTTTTGCTTTTGATTAGCATTTCAACCTTCTGGGGTCCCTAACTTCGTCCCAAAGTCAGCAGGAAGTAGCATGGGAAAGAATACAGATGCCAATATCTCTCACTCCCTGATGGGGGCGCTAGAGAGACAATAATTCCATGATTGGAATTTCCAAAAAAGAAAATGGGGGAATGAAGGGACCAGCTGTCCCTTTCGGCAGCCATGACAGTAACACGTGCTCGCCATGACCTTGCCTTGGTCACTAAGAGGTCAGATGCCTGCCTCATGGCAAGGAACCAATCAGAAGTTAGCTGGTGGCCCTCTGCTTTACAGCTCTGGGTGTGCTTTACGGACAAGTGCACAGCCATGATGCGCAGAGCATAGCAACCACCCTGGGAGGGCCTATGGGCCATAACAACCAATTGGCCAATCAACACAGGGCAAGCCCTCCAAGCCTGGAGGCACACCAATCCGGATACTCTCCTTACACTGCCCTACAAGATCTCTCTGTAGCCTGTTCGAGCTGTTTGCTAGCCATCTGCCATGGCGGGTGGGTGAAAGACCCGAGCTAACATGGGGTTAGCTCCTTAAACAACAATAAAACCTCATGCTATTTGCAGAAAAAAACCAACCAAACAAACAAAAAAACAAACAAAAAAAACCAAAACCAACCAACCAAACAAACAAAAAAACAAAAAACAAAAAACCTCCAGCAGAAAAAATACTGTCTTTTGTATTCTTAACAGGCCACCTTCTGTGCACTGTTGGTTTTTATTTTGTTTGGGGGAAGCGATACGGGGTCTTACTGTGTAGCCCAGAATATCTTTGAAATTGCCTCTTGAATACTGTTACTACAATTGTATGCTACCACTCTTGGCTAGCATGTTAATTTCTTTAAATATCTTTTCCTATAAAAAGGATAATGTTTTCATAGCAACCCTTCTTCCTAGCATTACAATATAAAATATTTTCCAAAGTTATTCACAGAAAGAGATCATTTCAAGCTAAAATAAATTTTCTGCATTGTACCTTAGAGTGAATTACTTCAAACATTTGTCTTGCTTTTTGTTTTTTCCATGTTCTTTGATGATCCAGTGGAGCAGAGACCCTTCTATTAGACTTTATGAATATTTGTACTGTCAAAGAATGTCCATTACCTGATACTTATCATCCATAATCAATAGCCTTGTTTGTAATATTTCCATTTATTATTGTCACTCTATCCTCTCATAGACAGCTTTCCCAATGTATTTAATATGCACATGTCATTTGTATATATTCTTGTAAAATCTGTTTTGTCTGCAAGCATGGTACTTCCTTAAGATTTTTCATTTATTTTCTGCTTCACATACTGCTTAGAAAACTAGCCATGATGTCAAGTGTACATCTAATACGTGGCTTCTACCCACAGCATAGCCCTCTAGACTGCATGATAACATATTGCCTATCCATTTCCCAGGGATGGACATACAGCTGGGTCCCATTTAATTCTTTCTATTGCAAACAGAGATGCAGCCAGTCTCCTCATTCAGTTGCTTAGTCCTCTTCCTCTGAAAAACTTCCTGGGGGCTCTTTTCCCAGGGGAGGAAGTGATGGAGCATTTGAAATTCTGTTTGAGAAGTTTTCCTGACCCTCACTCACAAAGGTACATCTTTCCTATTCCTCTATGATTTATCTTTTATATTTGGCTCTTTAATTCCCCTCATATCATCTTTGTACAGAGTGTTGGCTTTATGTCTCTTGACACAGTGAGTCAGTTCAGCCTGTTCTTTCCTTTCTTTGACTTGCAGTGTTGTTTATGTGTGTGTCCATTCTGCCTGTGGGCTGACTTCCTCCGGAAACAGACTTTTTAGAAAATGATGTAGCTGGGGATATAATTCAGGAGTAGAGCACTTGTCTCACATGCCTAATTCTCTGGGTTCAACCCCAAGATACTGCAATAAATAAATCATCAAAAAGAAATGGAAGAAAGGAAAACAGAAGAGGCTACAATGCGTGTGTGTGTGTGTGTGTGTGTGTGTGTGTGTGTGTGTGTGTTTAGGTGTGAACCACGAAGCATGAGGAAAAGAGTAAAGAAGGGAAACTGGGGTGAGAAGGAATTTAATAAGGGATTGTCACCATGACTGATTGGGGTTCTGTCTGTCAGGGTCTGTCTGGAAGAGAGTATAGAATAGGTTGCCATCAGCCATGCTGAGGAAGTTAAGGGAGCAAAAGTAATTTCCTACCACCTCCATTCCTGCACTGTTTTGAGTGCTGCCCTCCAAGATAGTGGTGGTGGGGCAACTCTGGTTTCCCTAACACCTGCAGGGCAGGCAGAGCAAGCAAGGACACAGAGAATTGCCATAAGAAATTGACTGGAGTACCTGGAATGGCAACTGTCAAAGGGTGGAGTCTCCAAACTTCAGTTTTTGTTCCATTACTTCTTGCCTTTATTTTTGGGTCCTGACCTGACTTTTCTAGGTTGTAGTTTATAGTAGTCTTTGTAAGCAGGAACAGATAGTTCCCACCCTTAAGCTCCCTGTATTTAAAATGTCCTCAGGATTTGTAGATATTTAGTTTCTCATGTCAATGTTAGGTTAAATTTAGATGTTCCTTTTAAAACAAAAAGTAAGTGGAATTATTCTAATTAAAACCACACTGATAGTATAGGCTTTGCTTTGATTAATTTGAGGAAGATTGGGTATTTTTATCACAGTGAATGAATTATGCTGACTCCTGTGGGCAAAGTGTTTGTCACAGAAGGGTTTAAGCTGGATCTCCAAACACTCATATAAAAAGCCACCATGCTTGAAATCAGTATTGGGGAAGCAGAGACAGGGGGTGCCATGGGGCTCACCAATCAGCTAGTCCAGTCTAACCTGTGAAACTCCAGATCCCATCGAGAGAGACCCTGTCACACACAAACACGCGCACACACACACAAACACACACACACACACACACACCAGACAGCTCCTAAGACCAACCCTCCCCCAACACATAATTGCTCCATTGAAGAAAAGATGCCTCTCCTTCTAGTCACATGGTTATCTTTTATTATAATTTATCTTTTCCTCTATAAATGTACTGTGTACTTACTACCTATTGCTTATTGTTGCCATTATGGATGATACACAATTGTCTCTCAATATCTGTAGGGATTGGCTCCAGCACCCCTGAGAACACTAAAATCCTTAAGCACTCATGTTCCTTATACGAAGCAGTGTAATACACGAGTATAACCCACATCCTCCTGTATCCTGTAAGTCATCTCTAAACTATTTATAATACTTAATTCGATGTGAGTGTAATATAGACCAGGCTGGCCTCAAACTCACACTGTCTGCCTGCCTCTGCCTTCCAAGTGCTGGAGGTAAAGGCATGCGCTGCCATGTGAATGCTGTGTGAGTAGTCATTATACTGTAGTGTTTGGGAAATAACAACCGAAAGAGCCTGTATATACTTAGGAAGGATACAGTTTTCCACCCCTAAATATTTCCAACCCATAGTTGGTTGAGTCTGTAGATGCAGAACTAATGCATGGATTCAGAAAGCCAATTATATTTTAAACTATGTTATTATATTACCATTTTCTAGTGAAAGGGAATACTAATGATTCATAGATATTGGTATTATGCCCCAAAATCTTGTGAACTTTTGTATAAGTCCTTACACTTGAACAGCAAGAAACTTAATTAATGCACTTCTTCACCATCACAGAGAGTAGGAAGAAAAGGATCATTGCTGATCCCAAATGAACTTGGATAGAGTATGCAAAAGAAGTCTCTAAGCTAGGTAATGGAAGACATGTGAACTTTAGAGAAAGGTTTTCTTTTAGAGAGAAATGTACAGCAGATTGACTGTGTAAGACAAGCATGGCTTTGGCAAATGACACAGGAAAGGAATTCTTCGGGACATTTTAAAAACTGATCATTTCACATCTGCATGTATAATATGTTCTGATCAAAGCCACTGAATTCCTCCCTCTATCTCCCCACTACTTTTCCCTCCCACCCTCATGTGCTCTTATTTTGTTTGTTTGCTTTGTGAGACAGGGTTTCTCTGAGTAATAGCCCTGGCTGTCCTGGAACTCACTCTGTAGACCAGCTGGCCCCGAACTCACAGAGATCCACCTCTGCCTCCCAAGTGCTGGGATTAAAGGCGTGCGCCACCATGGCCAGCTTCATGTGCTCTGAATCAGGGTCCAAGATCTAACTCTAATGGGCTCTAGTGGAACCCATTCTATATGGAGAGATACCACGCCCAGCCTAGACTCAGGGGTGTGGGGGTGGAGAGGTGCCTTGGTCCCTCCTCAATCAGATGAGGGCACAGACTTAGTAGACTTCTTAGGGGAGTCCTTACCCTTTCTGAGGAGCATATGGAGGCATGGTGGGGAAGTGGGGGGAGCAGGAAGAGAGGAGGGAGCGAGAAATGGGATTGGAATGTAAAAAATAAATGAACAATTTTTTTTTAAAAAACCCTGTGTATCCACTCAGTGCTGTTGGGATGTGATTGGGGTAGGACCATCTTCTGGAGCACAGGTAGCCTTGCACATAGCTTATACTTTTGGGCTTTTATAATGAAGCAAAATGTTCTCTGAAGTCTTAGCTATAACCTACAAGTTTTGATTTGTAATGTTTTTGTCATTCAACTCTAAGTTTAGTTTCCTTTTTGTTCTAGAGTTATTCACCAAAATGCTGCTTATTTGGGATGTTAAAGTCATGGATTTGTTATTATTTTCTTACTGTATTGCATCATGATTGGGAAAATATCTGCTAGATCCTTTCTAATTTCTGGAACCTTCCTTTCTAACCTAACTCATTCTGGTTTTTTAGTGCCCAAATTTCCCCATGATTTCCTACCAGTTGTTAGACTGGTGGAATCTGATGCTGAATTGTTAGTATGTGCTAATGATGACAGCTACATCTTCGTGTCCATCATATGTAAGCACATAAATGACTACTTGTCTGTTTTGATAGCTTGCTTATTTGATTTTATTTCATCAGCTACTAAGACTGCTATGCCAGTTTTCTTTCAGTTCGTATTTGCTTTATATATCATTACCATCCTTCCGTACTTAAGTATGGCTTTTGTGTGTGGGAATGATGAAAGGTGTATACTACTAGGCATTCAACCTAGACCCTCAAACATGCCAGGCAAGCATTCAACCACTGAGCTGGATCTTCAGCCATTAGGTGTGACTCTTTTTTTTTTTAAGATTTGTTTATTTATGTATATAAGTGCCTTATTTGCACGTGTGCCTTCATAACCGAAGAATGGCATCAGATTCCATTATAGATGGTTGTGATCCACTCTGTGGTTGCTGGCAATTGAATTCAGGACTTCTGGAAGAGCAACTGATGCTCTTTCTTAACTGCCGAGCCATCTCGCTAGCACCCAAGGTGTGATTTGTAATAAATAACTGTCCCTAGATCTTTAACAAATAGAACACAAAGCGGTCTGAGAATACACGTCTTTTAATAGTATATTTTAGCATACTCACATGTATTATAATTACTCTATTTTTAAAGCTTGTTTCTGCCTTTTAGGTTTTACCATTTGCTGTATTATTTCCTTTTCTATTTCCTCATCCTCATCTTTCCTCTCTCTCTCTCTCTCTCTCTCTCTCTCTCTCTCTCAGCCTTTCCTGAGATA